ATACCAGCCAGCCTTCTGCCTCAGATTTTCTACTTTGAGGTCTGTCATTCAATAATATAATTTGATCATTCTGGCTGCTGCCTTATCAGATTTTCACCAGAATCCTAAATTATTACTATGGCCTCCAGATTTTTTTCTGTCTGGATTTTTCTCCCATCATATTCTAGATTAATAGGTAAAGTGCTATCCTGTAATATTACTATTCTCAACTCTTTCTAACCATGGCTCCACATCCTGTTTAATCAAAGATCTCAAACAAGAAATTGCAGTCTGTCTAATAATTTACCTATCCCTGAAGGACAGTCTTACTCTTCCTCAGACTTGTGCTGTATTATCTTTTCTATACCTAGAATGTTTAGTTATCACCCCTACCAAAGTACCAAGTATTATTTGTTAGTTCTCTACCAAAGAGAGACCATCTGTATAACTATACTAACAAGCATGTCTTTCTTTCCCTTCCCTCTATCTAGCAATATTCATTTGATTAGTTCTAGATGTTTTAGTCATTTATACACTATATATTCTTATTTCTACCTTACTGTCTATATAGTGAATCTCTCTCTATATAGTGTAGTATGTATATATAGTAGCTATCTATAGCTATATATGTGTGTGTATGTATGTAACTATATATACAATGTGTGTGGGGGGGCATTATATATGTGCAAACCCATATCCTCCTTCCCTTCCTCTTCTCTTTTTGATAGCACTGAAGTCAGGATTTAGTGCGTCCTTCACAGATGTGATACCAGTTGAACCACACCTCCAACCCTGTTTTGCTTTAGTTATTTTTTTGATAGAATCTCTTTATTTTTTTGCATGGTACTGGCCTTAGACTCATATCTTCCAGTAACTAAGATCATACTTGTATACCACCATAACCAGGTTATAAATAGGGTCGCTTACCTTTTGGCTAGAACCTACCATCAACCTTTCTCCTGATTTCTGCCTCTTTAATAGCTAGGATTATAGACAGGGTTTCTATTCTATTTTAAATGGGTTTCTCTTTCCCCTCCTCTTCCTTCTTTTTGCTTCCTCTTCCTTCTCCTCTTCACCCCCTCCACAGCCTCCCCATCGCCTCCTCTTCTTTTTTTTGTCAGTGTGGGTCTTGAACTCAGGGCCTGGGCACTGTCCTGAGCTATTCCCCTCAAGATTTGTGTTCTACTACTTTGAGCCACAGCACCACTTCCAGTTTTCTGGTCATTCATTGGAGATAAGAGTCGCACAGACTTTCCTGCCTGAGCTGGCTTTGAACTTCAATCCTTAGATCTTAGCCTCACGAGTATCTAGGATTACAGGTGTGAGCCTGGCTTTAAGTGGGTTTCATTATGACATTTTCATATATGTATGCGGTATACTTTAATCCTATTCCTGTCTATCACTCCCTCTTTTCTTTTGTCCTGTCAAATGATCTATGTTTTTCTTTTTCCAAAAACAAAACAAAACAAAACTTGATTTTACATATGAGAGAAAACATTTAATGTTTGTCTTTCTACACCCAGCTTATTTTGCTTAACATGTTTTCCAGTTCTATCCATTTTCCTGGAAGTGAGATAGTGTAATTATTTTGTATGCCTGAATAAAATTGTTGTGTCTAGATACCCTATTTCTTTATCCATTCGTCTATTGATGGAAGCCTAGGCTGATTCCATTCCTTGGCTGTTATAAATAGTGCTGCAATAAACAAAAGTATGCTACAGTTATCTCTATTGTATACTGACTTACACGCTTTCATTTATGTAACCAGAAATGACATAACAGAGCCATATTGATGCTCTACTTTTAGTTTTGTGAGGAACTTCCCTACTGATTTCCAAGTAGATATGCTAGTTTACATTTCCTGCCATACTTCCCACAGGACACCATTGTCATTATTTGTTTTCTTACTGATAAATATTGTAACTGGAATAGATAGAATCTCATTGTAGTTTTCATATATATATATTTCCGTAATGGCTAAGGATTTTGAGCTTTTTTTTTTTCACTTACCAGCCACTTGTATTTTTTTTGTGAACTATCTGTTCAAATAACTTGTCCATTTATCGATTAAATTATTTTTGGTGTCTATGATTTTTAAGTTCTTTCCATAGTCTAGATATTCATCTCATCACATGACTGGCTGGCAAAGATTTCCTCTCATTCTGTAGACTGTCTCTCCACTGTGACAATTGTGAAGCAACACTTGTTGAGCACTCATATACTTCCCTCAAAAACCTTAATGACATTGTCTTAACTGATGTTCACATATCAATATACAATTCCAAGGTGTTTTAACCAATAGCGTGTGAGTGTTACCTTACAAACTTCATTCACATTTGAAGAATGAGCTCTGAATTTAGTGTGTCTGTAAACACTGAGAAAGTTAATACAAATGTTGTTGGTATTATTAAATATATTTTGTTAATATAGCAGATTCACAATTTTAATCATATATTCAAGAAGCCAAGGTTTTTTAAACCTGAAGAATATTTTTTCTTTAAACTTAAGGAATATGTTCGTTTTCCTCTACCTTTCTTACCTGTACTTTAATTTTTGTTACATGTACTTCTATGTGTATAATTGTGCATTTACTTGTATGATTATGTTCCCTCTAACTGTATTGTAATATCTTAATCATTATGGATTTTTTCTTATCACACATTATCATATACATGACAGTATATATATATGTATACCTATATATATGCATGTATGTGGGTATATATATAATGAATAAACAGTTATGACTTAATAGATAAAGCTAGTTTTTAAAAAGCACAGTAAGAGCTAGTGATTCTTCTAGGAGATTTGAATTCCTTTCCGTTGTTAAACTGAACATGATAAACACATATTAAGTTTCCTATATGGGTCTCAGAATTTTTTATTCTGTAGGTGAAAATAAATTAGCCAAATAGCCAAAAGGACAAAGAAGATGTGAACCTACATAAATCCTACCTATATCCATTGTGCCATTGGTTCTCCAAAACTTCTATTGTCTTGGTAGGGCCAAGAAGATAGCTGAATGGAAGATCCTGTGTTTAGTATCCAGCTCCTAAACAAATGTGATGAAAACAAAATCCTGCCAGGAAGGAATTGACCCTTTCCTAGAAACCTGGCAATAGACTAGAAATCTAGGACCAGCAGAGTAGTTACTTCAGAAACATGTGTTTGTCTAAGGAAAAGAAATGCTTAGATTGTCTTAGGAAAGGAAATGCAGGTTTATCTAACTTAAAATTGCAGCAAGAACCCAGAGCCTGAATCTCTTCCTGTGAGTTATTAGCTATTACATTTCTGATTGTGTTTCTCATATCATGTAAACCTATGAAGTCACAAATTGCAGACTATTTTATTTTTTGTGTATTAAACTAAAATCTTACCTGACCATTTTGACATTAAAATTAAAGAAAATATAGGCGTCTGATCAAATTAAATTTGGAGCAAATTCTGCTTAGAAGTGATTTATGTTCACATGCATCTTTTCAGCTCTTTTTTGGTGTTTTCTCTTTGAAAATAAGCAAGTATGATTCTCTTTTTAGCAGCTGTAACACCAAAGTTCTCTAGTTTTTTTTTTTTTTTTAACATTTTCATAAAATGTTTGCTTGCTTATTAGATTTCTCATTCCAAAATGTATCTTTGTTTACTTATGCAGTATCACTTTCTTCACTTCATTTTCAAGTACAGTGATAAACTACATGTACCATCTCTTCCATTTTAGAGGAAAATTGACCTAGTTTTGTGTTTTAAATTAAAGTTTATAATGGAATAAGTTCTATTCTACATGGTCTGAATATATTTTAAGAATTTTAAAATAGCATCTTAATCTAATTTTCTTCATGATGTATTTTATTAATTTGAGGAATTATTAAAATATTAATACATTTGGAAAATATATAAAATAAAGTTTTAAGTTTTCATTATCAAGTTGTTTAGGGAAACAATTAGATTGAATATTGCTGTGATTGATGCTGAATGTTCTGTATGATTGTTCTACCTTAATAGAGCTACAAACCAGAGAGAAAATTAAAAAGACTGCTAAACATATTAACCATCACCTATCATTTCTCTTTGTAAGGTGACAGTATGTTAAAGTTTCAAGGCATTATCAATTTCAATAACCAAAGTAAACTATAAGAAATGAAATTAGGTTTGAAAACGAGTTATTTCTTAAATTTTATTATATGATTTCCTTCAAATAATTAATATTTTTAACATAATGACTGCATGTGAGATGTATTTTTTAAAAAATAAAATGTGGACTATTTCTGGGAGCTGAAAATTAGACATTGTAAATTGTGTGCTAGGAATGTATCACATGTGGTATGCTGCGAGTACTTAGAATAAAACTCTTTCTGTAGTTGGCCCTTTCCTTTCTTGGCTCTGATTATTTTCCCTTCTACGTTCATTTCTGCTCTCATTCCTAATGTCTCTGCTTCATCACCATATCTTCAAATACAATGTAGAGGCCATAGTTACATGTTACATAGTTACATGTGCATTGAAATGACCCCCCTTCCAAATTTTTATACACAGTTAAGTGAGCAATGGATAGATTTAGTAACATTTAACCACTAGGAAAGGATTCTGTACATATGAAATAAAATACTATAGCATTTTGAACTCAGAATCTGCTGTATGTTTCTTTTTTTTGCATGACAGAATAAAATACTATTTAGACAGTGGTTCCCATAACCCATCTTGAACTATAAAAATTAAAAAAAAATATTTTCTTATAAACTAGAAAAGTCCACATGTGTTCCTGCTCCTTGGATCTTCATACTGATTATAATTACACAGTGTTTAAAAAGGTTTACTCATGTGATTGGGCGTATGATTAATGTACATATTTTTGTTTTATTCTTGGGATGGGAGGGACAGGGAAAAACACATTTAGTGATAGCTGTTCATTAGCCACCATTGAAGAAGAAATTGAACTTTAAAAAATCTATCAAAAATTCTCTGGTGAGCCTTTTATTACTATCTTGTCTTGAGCCCTTTTTTTTTTTAATGACATCTATTATCAGATTGAAATGGCGATTGAGACGCTGCAAAAGTCTGACGGTCTGTCCACTCACAGAAGCTCTCTTCTCAACAGCCATGTAAGTTGCCTCTTCTTCACGTAAACTAATCTCTTGCTTGTTCTGCATGTGTTGCTTGCCTCTAAATGCTTGTTTTATTTATCTTATTTATTTTGCTTCTTAACCTTCCTTTCTCAGCACCCTATAATCTCTGAATCATTTAATGGCTATTTTATGGAATATCTCATAATAGAGATCTCAGGGTACTGCTTTACTAGGTTTTTATACAATAATTTCAAAATAAATGACAGACTGCCATTTATTTTTTTAAAAAAGAAAAAGCAATCAGTCTCTGTTATAAAGTTTTCTGGTTAGGTATTTATTTTCTATGAAGCAAAAAATTGTAGTCCACATTTACATAGAGAGACATAGAGATAGCCATGTCTACTGTAATGCTTTTTAAGTGGATGAGTGATGACCAATGTCAAATCCAGTGCTAAGCTGTTTGAAAATGATTTCTTTACGAATTTGACTAGATTAGACAGACTAGAAATAATGATATATAAGAACTCAGGTTCTAAAAACTAAAGAGAAATGAAAATTGGCCAAAAGAAAAAGTGAGGCTGTAGACAAACCACAGTTTGCTAATGACCGGGGTAGAGAGAATTGCCATCCCTAACATTGAGACTCTCACTGTCACCAGATGCACCGTCACTCTGACACTGGTAAGTGTGTTAAGGAGGACGACAGTTTTGTGAAATTACAATCATTATTGTCAACTGTTAAATTATGGGAAAACAATGAATGTGCTGATTAAAATGTACTTTGTCACCATGACTTCTGAGGCTGGGAAATAAAAGTGAGCAGACCTGTGACTTGCATCTAGTTTGGATAAATCAATGACATTTTTGGAAGAATTACTTTTCCTTCCCAATTGACTGCATTCCTAAACTTAGGGATAAAATTATTATGTTTTCTTAATTTTTTCCATCATTTGTTACTGAAAACTTAAAAATCAAAATAAAATTTTGTTACTCCATTTATTTTATTGTTTCATTTATAAAATGTTACAGAAAGTGTTTGTAGTATGCATTCTAAATATTTGAACTTTGCAATAATTATTTATATTACAAAACATTACTACCCTATCCACTTATGTTCTAACACATTTGTATTTGGATAGGGTATTCTGTTTCTTTTTGAAAGGAAAGTTTCCCGATTCCCTCTTTTCCCCCCCCCCAAATTAACTAACTTGGAGAATGCTTATAATTTTGATGAAAATTATGCTTATGAATTTTTAAATAATGCCATTATTTGGGCCCTTTTTGATGACGCAATCCAAAAATGCATTTCTGAAATTTTATTTTGAGTATGTCATGCTTTCATTTGTTTCCTAATTGTGTCCCAGTTGTATTGGGACACAATTGTATGATACCGTGAACATGTTAAAGGCTGAGTGTGCATTGGTAGGCTGTGTATTTGTGAAAAGGAGGAAAGGACCAGCTGATGTTTGTATGTTGAATATCCCAAGTGAGGATTGGAGGGGAACATAGGAAAAAAGTTTCCTATAGTCTTGACCAACTTTCAGACTTCTAAGTTTTATTTGATAATTTAATTCACATTTGACTTTATTTGACATACATTAAAAATAGGAAAATATATAATATGTTTAATTTTACCTTCAATTACTCATCTTAATTAGTATGTTCACAATTTTTTATTTGGGGATTTGGTTCACTGTTTTAAAATATATTAAAGTTTTTAAAAATTACTTTCTCTTAAAAATTTGTGAACCAATATTTAATATTAATAATCGTGTCGACTAAGCTGTATAAACATCAGACAACGGTGTATTATTTCATAGCTTCATGATGTTTTTATTAAGTGGTCTAGAAAACCTTCCTTACGGTTAAAAATGTCAAATGCTGTGTCAGTATGTGCACAAAGAGTGGGCACAAATGTTGCTAGTGAAGTGATAATCTTTGTGTGTTCTCCTGGTTCATTTTAGTCTTTAATCTATAGACTATTGTAAACAGTGAAGGCAGAACTGTTGGCCAGCTAGTGAGCTTAGTTCCTTCTTGACCACAGAGAACGATTCTGTTGTCTTTTTATCCTTGGGTAGTTAAAAATGCCCCCAATTTTTGTTAGATTTATCCAAACAACTACAATGAATTTCATATCACGTCTTCTAGAACATTGAACAAAATACCTTTAAAGGTATTTTACATTCTATAAACATGGTGATTTTTTGTTGTATATACATTTGTCAGTGGCAAGATAGGTTTTAAATGTATTTTTGTTATGCTTTTATTTATTTATTTAGTGTTCTTAGTGGTAGTGGAGATTGCCCCAGAGACACGTGCTTGCTGAACAAGTACTGCAATATAAGACCGTATCTTTTTTTTTTTTTTTTTTGCATTTTGATGTTATAGCAGGGTCTTACTACTATTTTCTGAGATTCCTGCTTCAACCTCTTGGGTACTTATGTTTATAGGCATGTACCAACACTTCTGGCTGCTTGTTAATACTTTATATGTCAGTAAAATATGCTACCTTTATATACTATAGTATAATTATAGTACTATGATAGTATAATATAGTATAATAATTCTACCTATTATAGAATAATTTAAAGTTTGTGAGATTCACATTGGCATGAATTTGATTTTATGATTCCCTGATTTATCAGTTTCTATAAAAGATTAATTTTAAAAAGATAAATTGTTATATGTGTTCTATATTTACCAATTTTTTCTTTTCTTTTTTTTTTTCTGGTTCTTGGGGCTTTTTGTGCTCAAAACTAGCACTCTCCCACCTGAGCCATATCACCATTTCTGGCTTTTTCTGGGTAGATTATTGGAGATGAGTCTCACAGACTTTCCTGCACAGGCCACCTTCAAACCATGACCCTTAGATTTCAGCTCCTGAGTAGGAATACAGCTGTGAGCCACCGGAGCCCAGCTACATTTATTAGTTTTTGTTTGTTTGTTTTGGTTGGTCGTGGAGCTTGAACTCAGGGCTTGGGCACTGTCCCTGGGCCCTGTCCCTGCTCAACTAGGGCTCTACCACTTGAGCCATAATGCCACTTACAGCTTTTTCTGTTTATGTGGTACTGAAGAATGGAACCCAGGGCTTCATGCATGCTAGGAGAGCACTCTACCACTCTATCACGAAGCCACATTTCCAGCCCAATGTATTTAGTAGTTTTTGAAGAGGGGTCTTAATCATAACTTTTAAGCAAAAAAGTCTTTTCTCATGAGACATGGAATAAAAACGATTTTGTTTCCTGTTTGTGCATTTGATTTTTAGCATAGTTTTGGGAAGTTTTTAAAATTTTATTTTAACTTAATTGTACAAAGGAGTTACCATTCCATAAAGCAGTATATGCATACAATGAATCTTGATTAATTTTACCTCTGTCAACATTCTCTCCCATCCTTTCCAAATCTGGTAAGTCAGCCCTCTTAGTAGAATCTGGCATATTTCTTTTCTTTTCTCCTTTCCACATTAGATGATGGGGTAGATGTTAAATTTTGTATCCCATTTTCAGCATATTTTTGATAGTATTTTGTACTGCTAATCCATTTTATTAATATAGCGTGCTATTACCTTCTGGAATTAAATATACATACACATACAACAATAGATACATTATATATAACCTCACTTAACTATGAAGCATCTCATGCTTTATTCTGTTAGTAATATTAAAAGGATGGCAATTATGGCAGCACAAGCATCTCATGGACAGTAACTAAATAAGAGACTAAGGATTCTTAAACTTTCCCTACCAGTGTATCCCTGGTGCCTTGTGCCGTGCTGGAACATAGTGGATGCCTACTGAACATTTCCTAAATGGATAAATATTAGAAACCATAGAGTCAAACAGACCTTCTCTTACCTTCAGTGTTCAAGGATGACTTTTCCCACCATGGGTGAAGAATGATAACACATGGTATTGTTTTCACATATTCTTCCAATAGGTTTATGTGTCTACATGGCTTGGGGAAGAAAATGATTTCTCCTAGCATGCTAATCAAATAAAAAATATATGGTTACTCTATCTAATTTCTCTGCATGCACTTTGAAGTTAAGAATAGATAACTTTTTATGCTACAAACAATTTACTCTTTTAAATGGCATAGCCTAAAGTGGCATCATTCATCTTTGGCTATTTAGAATGGTAATTTGGTTATTTTTCACAAAATCCTATCAGTACAATAATTTTTACTTAAATATTTTGTTTCTGATTTTTGTATGTGAAATTCTTACACTAAATGGCATATGTAGTCTGCCTAAATCTGAATAGGATATCAAATTTTTCTTTATTGTAAACAAGTTTATTTTATATTTCTTATTTGTAATTAATACAATTAGCATTTAATTATTAGCACTTCATAGTTATACATCCAGTTTGAGGCAAAAAAAAATTGTAGATTTGAAACAAGAAATGTTTTTCAATTACATTTTCCTAACATTCATAGAATGTTGTTAAGATTGTATAGTTTTAAAATTCTGATTAAAGATAAAAATCTCTAGGCATTTGTTTTATACTTTTTAAAAACAGTGCAACTAATTGTTCTGTGATTCTTTTTTTTCTAGTTGGGATTACTTAAATATATTTAACTCAAAACAAAGCCCTGTTTTCACTCATTATACTTGACTTTACAGTATTATAAATATGTTATTATAGAAATAAGATCTGTCAAAATGAGTATTGTCAGTATACCAATAGATAATCATTCATCTGAAAAAATATGGTAAATGTTGCATTTAGCTTTAATTGGGCAGTGCAAAATTGATTTAATTTCATTTGTCAATCATTACTTCTCTCTAGGAAAATATAAGAACTGTTCATCTGCTTTAATCTATTCTGACTAATATAGATTAGATGCAAAGGTTGAAAAATGAAATTATCTTGGATTCTGCCCTTAAATGAGTATATTTTAGTTCGTTAGTGGAATAATCAGGTTTGAAAGATAAAGGTTAAAACTTTCTATGATATTTCATAAACTTTGAAAATCATAAATATATTTTATAAGACATTTTATAAAGAAGAAAAATAGTAGTAGTTTAATGCTAAATTACTGGTTGGTAGGACTGTTGGATTCTAATGTCTAAATCTCTTCTGGTAACAACAATGTACTTTTAATAGTGTTAACTTCCTTTCCACGTTTTATGGAGCATATTCCTTTAGATTATGTTTAATATTGCATAGAAACTTAACTGCTAAGTTTTGTTAATAATAGAACTTATGTTTGCCTGGCACTGGTGGCTCCTGCCTGTAATCCTAGCTACTCGGGAGGGTGAGATCTAGGATTGCACTTCAAAGCCAGCTAGAGCAGGGAAGTCTGTGAAATTCTTATCTCCAGCTAACCACCAGAAAACCAGAGGTGGGCTGTGGCTCAAAGAGGTAGAGTTTTAACCTTGAGTGAAATATATCAGCTCAGGGATAGATAGTCCCCAGACCCTGTCTGTCCCTTCAGCACTAGGACCTCCTCCTCCTCCATCTCTTGCTTGCTCCTTAACGTGTTCTCCAGGATTCTGGCAGGGAATGACGTTCTTCCCCCTGCAAACACAAAATGTTGCTTCGCTGCCGTCAGAGTTGTAGTCACCAAGTTCCCCATTCATGTGGAACTTCGTATCATGTGATTATTAGTTGCATTAATCTACTTTTCTTATTTTATACTTTTATTTACAAAGTTCATTTACAAGCCGGGCGCTGGTGGCTCACGCCTGTAATCCTAGCTACTCAGGAGGCTGAGATCTGAGGATCGCGGTTCAAAGCCAGCCCGGGCAGGAAAGACCGTGAGACTCCTATCTCCAATAAACCACCAGAAAACCGGAAGTGGCGCTGTAGCTCTAGTGGTAGAGCGCTCGGCTTGAGCTGAAGAGCTGAGGGACAGCGCCCAGGCCCAGAGTTCAAGCCCTACGACCGACAAAAAACAAACAAACAAAGTTCATTTACAAATTTGACTATATTCCATTTCTGAAAGACAGTGCCCTTTTATGATTTCATATGTAGATATATCACATTTCTACATTAGCAATAAAAATAATACTGGCTTTTAATCACTTCTTTCTATCAACCATTCTATTATGTCTTTGACACTATGTATTATGTGAGGATATGTAGGACTATGTATGAAAACATCTTTAATTTTTTACTTTACACGTATTTATTACTATTAAATTGAAAAATATTACATATTATCTTACTACCCTTACTAAATTGAAAAATACTAAAGCTTTGTGTGTGTGCCTTTTTAGGGCTTTCTAAAAATTAGTGCTTTATGATTCTTGATATCAGGGCCTAAATTCCTCTTTTTAACATTTCAAGGATGCCAGTAGAAGTCAGTTGCCTTTGCTCTATCTAGTATATGTACACAAAAGTACAGCCAGTATGTTTCAATGCAATATGGTTCACCTGAGCATCAGTGGTCTAAAACAGAAAAGAGATATGAGGGCACTGCTACAGGCCGACTACTGATTCCAGCCATAGCAAGTGAATATCCTAATTCATTTATACCCTTACATTAAATATAGATAACCAGTGCTTTCTGGGTGTCACTTAATAAACTCAGAAATCATGTCTGACTCTCTTTAAAAATGTGGCTTCTGACAGTAGGCTACAAATATAGGAAAATTTTGAAAAGAATGAAAATTTATTTTATATAATCATTGTAGAGCTTTTATAGTAGATGGTTGTCTATCTTATAGAGGTAATCATTGTGTTCTAATGTGTATATTTAGCTGGGAGGGGTTGGTTCACACCTGTAATCCTTGTTATTCAGGAGGCTGGGATCTAAGGATCATGGTTCCAGACAGGAAAAGCCATGGAACTCTTATCTCCAATTGAACACCAGAAAACCGGAAGTGGCCCTGTAGCTCAAGTGGTAGAGTGTTTGCCTTGAGCTGAAGAGCTGAGGGACAGGGCTCAGGCCCAAAGTTCAAGCCCCATGTCTGACCAAAAAATTAAAAAAAAAAAAAAAGCCAGCCAAGGCAGGCAGGAAAGTCCAGGAGACTCTTATCTCCAATTAACCAAAAAAAGCAGGAAGTAGAGCAAGTGGTAGAGTGCTAGCCTTGAGTAAATGAAGCATAGGGACAGCAACCCAGTCCCTGAGTTTAAGCCCAAGGACAGTACAACACACACACACACACACACACACACACACACACACACACACACACACACACACACACACAATGTATGGATTTATATGGATATCTGTTCATTAGAAGACGACAACTTGAACAGATATTAATTTCATTTTTAAAAGGCTCTGTTCTTTATAGCCATATTTCCAAAGCCAGTAACCACTATGGTTTAATTACATAATTTTAATTATATAAGCATCATGTAGAAATAGTTGAACTTAAAATGTTTCTAGAGAATTTATTGTCAGAGTTAAAATGCTAGAAACCACCATCTTAATGAATTTTTTAAAATAAAACTTCTGGAAGTTCATAGTCAAGATCACAAATCTTAAAATATATGCACAAAATTAAAATGTGCTTTAATTGTTTTTTGATTTCCATATCATCATGGAAAAATGGGGTCACATTCATCATGGTAACACATAAACAATTTCTTTTACTTCTATAACTTATGTTTAAATTGTATTTTAAATGCTACTTGTTAAACCTCTTAAGGAATTTTTGTTGAGACAAGTGATATGAAAACTTCAGAGGTTTTGTACAACTATCAGACTTCTAATTAAGAAACATTTAGGAACTATTTATTTTCAAAACTGTTTTGGAAACTATTCCTGATTAGGAAACGGGAGTTGGAAACCAACCTTAAGAAAAATCATTTAAGTATAACAAGTCTCCTTTGTACATGGTAAATGGACAAATGCTCAGAATAGAATTCAAAAATATATACTAGACTAGATTTTCTGAAAATGTCTTGCATATTATGAATTTAAAGATTGTCTTTCAAAACCCATCAGACAACATTGAAATTTTAAAGGTGAACTTTAAACCAATAAAAACACTGCCTTAATAAATGGTAGTGTACATTTCAAAATTCTGACAAAGCACAACTGTGATGCAGAAATTCTCAAATGGTTATAAAAAATGTTCCTGTTGACTGCATATAAATTATTTTTCAATACTTAGCGCTTATCTTTCCTTCTGGGGAAGGAATGATTGATTTTTTTTTCCCTACATGCAGAATTTGTCCCAATGGACAATATTATTGTATTATCTAGTGTTAATTTGAGGTAAGCAAATTACAATTCTGTAAAAATGAATAAACCTTAATATAAAACTTCATATAAGGAAGCTTATTATTCAGGTATTGGAATTAAACAATCTAAAAGACACACTTAGTGCAGTGCTTCCAAGTTTGCTAGCATGCTTTGTTCTGTTACAGTAATACATTTCATTTGTGACCAGTTAATGAGTTTATTTGTACTCCCTGAAGAAATACTTGTCTCCAAATTGCAACTAATACATAGAAAATTATTATCTCTCTACAGGTGCTTGAATATTTGTCATATTGTCTAAGATCATAACTGATGTTCAACTATCTACAGTGTTTCTGAGTGTTTTCACAGCCAGATTACATAGGCCTCTTAATTACAACAATTTATCATAAGACTTAATGAAGAACTTCTGTGTCTTTCTGTATCTTTTATTTGTAGTATTGCTTAGAAATTTTTGCAAATAAAATGATTTCTCTGTGTTTACTATGTCTTATTTCCACTAGCTTCAATGGCTGTTGGACAATTACGAGACAGCAGAAGGAGTGAGCCTTCCCAGAAGCACCCTATACAATCACTACCTTCGACACTGTCAGGAACATAAACTGGACCCAGTCAATGCTGCTTCTTTTGGAAAACTAATAAGGTCGATTTTTATGGGGCTACGAACCAGGAGATTGGGTACCAGGTGAGTATTGGGACATAGGATCATAAGCTTTCCATTTCAAGCAAAAGCAGCTAAATATGTTATTTGAACAAAAGTACTTGATTATAGATAATATATGGTAGAAATATAGAGTGAACTCAGTTTATAATAATCCATACAAAAAGGTATCTGATTATTCAGTGAACACTACCAAATCAGAATGACACAATGTCCTAAATAATAACTCACAGAATTTGGGAGAAGAAATGATTCTGACTATAGATAGAAGACCAACTTGTTAATGTGAGATTTTACTTTTAAATATTAATATATTACTTATATGTTAATATATATCACAGTATTTTTGAAAATAACCATAGTATGAAAAAGTTTCATAGTGCTTGCAAAACTATCTCCAGATTCTGAAAAAATTATATATTTGTCTTTATTTTTTTTTTAAAAAAAGCTACTTTAGTTGAATGGAGTAAGAAACTGAAGTAGTAACTTGTATTTCATAGAATTGAAACCAATTTAAAGTCATTTGGTAAACTTGCTAGATATTGGTATTTGAAGTCCTTGGTAATAACTTGGTCCTATTTTACCTTTCACTGGCCTTTTTAAATCTTCTTTTTCTGCTCCTGATTTTGAAACCATGCAAACATTAGAATAAAAATATGATATAGTTGCATAGAGATAAATAATGTAAAGTAAGAGCTACCAGTTTCTCTTTTTTTATTTTTGAAATAGTGTTTTTACTTTTCAAACTATGATGAAATCAGAGTTGTGAATCTTGTTTTTTTTTTATAAGTTGAAAAATATTTTCAGCAGGTATGCATGAAGGTAGGATATATTTGATTTGAAAATCTTATAAAATGTATACTAGGAAGTATTAAATAGAGAGCAAACACTACTCTGAGGAGTTATTTTTAATCAGTTATATTTCACAACTTCAAATTATTGTAGTATAGAATGTTTAATCGTAGTAAACCTAACGGTGCCCTAGTAGTTAACTTCATTATATAGTTAGAGTGAAAAGAGGATTGAATATTGTCAGGGAGAAAAGATTCACAACTCATTTCAAGGTTTATGGCTAAGACCCCTGTAACAAAAGACAGATTGAGAAGAGAGAAGCTGTTTCTTTAGTATAAGCTTTAAATGACAGAGAGATTTCAGAGGTAAAAACCCACAACGAAACATGACTTAACACAAACGGTTATGATCTAGAATTTCTAAGTTAGATGGTAGGATAACTCTGTAAGGCCCATGTACTGGATTCTTCTCTTCATCTCTGGAGAAAAAGATAGCATAGGGTGATGCAGGTCTGATGGTCTGTTTTCAAGGAATGGCAAGCTAAGTTTTAAAGCCCACTTCAGTGGGAAAAAGAGAAAGGGAATTTTTTTTTCTACTTCTTCTGGCCTGTTTTTGCTGTTTTTTTCAAATGTGAAAATGCCATGTTTTTGTGTCCTGAACCTGAATCCTAGATCCGTTTTATGAGATACAAGATCTCTCTATGTTCTAATTGCAGATTTATTTCTTTCTCTTGCATTTAAGCATATCTATAGCTTTCAGATTGCTGTAGGCTTGATTCTTTCATAAATGTGTTTTCTTCCATCTATACTTCAAAGGTAGTATCTTTTAAATTGCAGAATATGATTGTCTATTCAGACTAAAACCACTTGCTTTCATTCCTCTGAAGAAAAGCTTTTTGTTTCTCTAGTATTCTTTTTTTTCTCCCAAAGTAGGAAAATCATTATTTAGGGACCTAAACTACTATCTCCTAGCTGATGGCTCAGTACTTACATGTGTGATGCCAATATTTTGAAACTCTGGGCTTTATTCAACATTCTAATAGCTGTATTGTTGTGCTGCTTTTGTTACTGGAAAAGAATTCAATGAATCCTATTTTGAAGTCCATTCAAACCCTGAAACACATCTGTTAAGTAGAAAGGGACAAATTGGGGTTGTTTGGGTTTGTGAATGAGTAGAATCCATATTCTATAAGTACATTTTACAATATTACAGCTTTTGCTCTCCGCCGTCACCAACAATTATGTCTCCTGTTCCTTTAAAAATTGTATGTAGTGTTTGCAATTGATTTGGAAAGCAAAGCCTAGAAGAATAAGGGGAAAATAAGTTCTGTGGTTGAGTTTAAATAAATGAAGTGTGTGAAAGACAGAGGAACTCTAGTGGACAAAATCTGATGTTGGCAGGGAGATTTTTCTAGCCCAGGACATTGGTATCCAGTTTCTATCCCAAGCCAAAGAACAGAAGGAAATCAGTGAAAATTGTGAAGCACATTAAATAGATTTTTAAATGAACTTTATATAAAATATACATCATTTAAATTAGCAGGTAAAATTATTCAAACCAGACCATATCTTTGCAAAAGTTTTTGGACTTAAATAAGCAAAAGCTAAATTAAAAAAAAAATCACTATTTCTAAGCCAAGGCAAATCAGACTTTTGATTTGATCCTATCTCCAAATTTGAACAAAGGTAACTATGGATAATCTTCTCTTCCCAAGTGCTTACCAATAAAGTATAAATTACTACTCCCACCTAAAGCAAAATGCTGTTTTGCAGGAAACAGAAAAGAAACCCATCTATTTGGGAGTCTTACAGAGAAAACAGCAGGGATTTTTTGTACTTTTTCCCATTATTAATACCTCCCACTTCCTATCACTACTGTCTTTAAAATTTGTAAGAGAGAACACTACAAATTGTGTTTATGGTGATGTTTTTTTTTCTCTTTTTTCCACTGGATTTTTGAGACTACATCTAATCTCTCCAAGTGGAAGACCTTACTTTATAGACATTAGGTTTTTATTTCTGTTTTAATTTACGGAAAGCGTGTAGGCATTGAAATGCCCTGTAGTTTTTAAACTAACAGTTTGTTTATATACTATGAATTTAAGATCACTTTAAATATATGGAAGTTCATCTAGCCAGGCTCTGGTGGTTCACACCTGTAATCCTAGCTATTCAGGTGGCTGAGATCCGAGGATCATGGTTCAAAGCACAAAAGTCCGTGAAACTCTTATCTCCACTAAACCACCAGAAAACTGGAAGTGGTGCTGTGGCTCAAGTGGTAGAGCACTCACCTTGAGCTGAAGAGCTGAAGGACAGTGCCCAGGCCCAGAGTTCAAGCCCACAACCAACCAAAAAAAAAAAAAAAAGTTAATCTTAGAAGTAAAACTGTTTAATTTTTATTTAAAAAAATTGATCCACCCTACCCTTCCAATTTGTTTTGTAAATGAAAGAAAAAATTGGAAAGAGTACTGATGTCTGTGTGTGTGTGTGTGTGTGTGTGTGTGTGTGTGTGTGTGTGTGTGTGTGTGTGTATGAAAAAGTATTTTCTCTTTGCAAGAATTTACGTATTTAAAATTTTGCAAGTCCCATTCAGAGCAAAACTTGTCATGTGGTTAGTATTGGTTTGACTAACTTTTTAATATTTCCAATGTTTATTGTTCTTTATGAAGAGGAAATTCGAAGTACCATTACTATGGGATTCGTGTGAAGCCAGATTCCCCCCTTAATCGTCTCCAAGAAGATATGCAGTATATGGCTATGAGACAGCAGCCCATGCAACAGAAGCAAAGGTAGACTCTGCTGTTATCATTGATACGTCAAAGCTGTGTATTTCTTAATTGCTTAGGTCTCTCTTCTGAACAAACAGAGTGCCTAGGTGCACAAGAATGGGGCTACTCTTGGCATGTCTTCACTAACTATGGATAATTCTTCAATCTGATTTAGCGTTTCAGTGATACCATTTTCCAGATTTCAAGAAAACACTCTGCTTTCTTTCCATGTGGCTCCTTAAAAAGGTGCCATCCTAAACTATTCCCCAAAGGAAACACCAAAGATAAGGAGCAAGTTCGAGCAAATACCAACTAAAGAAATTGTTTCAGTATTCATCAGCCTCTGACTTGCTTTTCTTTTTTCTTTCATTTTCTTTTCTTTTTTCTTTTTTTTTCTGGTCAGTTGTGGGACTTGAAATCAAGATCTGGGTGCTGTTCCTGAGCTATTTTGCTCAAGGTTGATGCTCTACCACATTGAGCCACAGCTCCACTTTCAGTTTTCTGGTGGTTAAGTGGAGATAAGAGTCTCATGGACTTTCCTGCCTGAGTTTGCTTCAAACTCAATCCTTAGATCTCAGCCTCCTGGGTAGCTAGAATTACAAGTGTGAGCCACCAGCACCTGGCTTCTTACTTGCTTTTCGGTACATTGTTCAACTCATACTTTTTGACCAAATATGAACTCATACAGGATGCTTTAGAGTTTGTATTTTCTTTAATTTTAACTTTTACAAATATAGACTTGCAAATATTAGAGCTCTAGGAGATGTCATACATTTACAAATGCATGGGTGAATGGATGTGTATAGAAGGCTAGATGGAAGGATGGATAGTTTAAAAATATCTGTATCTAGTCTGGCTTTGCAACTTTATGAGAATCAGAGCATCAGTAGTCCAGTTAATGAATCTAGATCAAACCAGATAAGTTAAATGACTTGTAAATGTCTACATCCTGTTTGTATAGCCAAGTCCCATATGATTTATGACTCAAATTTTAGAGAAAATAAAATTGTTTTGCCAGTAAAACTAAAAAATGACCTGAAGTTCTCATTTCTCTTTTCAGTTTGGACATATGAAATTAGAAAAGAGGTCTCTGCCTTTTTCCTAAATCACTGATCTGGAATGGTTAGTTGTATTTTCCAGATCTTTATGTCCATGCTAGTTCATTCAGAAGTATTAGCTCTGAGACAACGGTGATGATATCACACAGCATCTTTTCATCTGTTTAATGAAAGTTGCAATTGAAATTGTAATCTGAAACAAATATTAAGGGACTTAATTGTACACATGATTGCTATTTTATATCTTTTACATTATGTTGAGCTACTTGATGTAAGGACTCTCATTTAAATCTGATTTCCAGCAACATCACCATATAGAACATAGCCATGAAGACTGCAAATAATTGGAAAGAGCTTTTCATTGAAAAGTAGATGATAGGGAACCCATACTTCCACATACTTGAGGAGATGAATCCCTCCTCCAACTATTGTTTACCAAAAGAGAAGGAACAGATTAGAGTCCACTTAGTGGACAAGCAATCAGCATTTAATGCAGGTTGGAAGTGGAAGTAAACATGGTCACCTATTTAATTTTGGGTCATTTGAACAGCAGTCCATAGATACTCAGTCAAAGGACAGATGGGCCAGGGAGTTCCATAGTCCCTTTGAGTATAACTCTTGTGATTAGAAATGTAGTCTGGCACAATATAATAACATTTGCTTATTAAAGTCATTATGGACAATCAAGAAGAGAAAAAATATGTGATTTTTAAAATGTCTTCTGTTGAAAATGTATGGGAAAATTACACTTAATTGAAATAATCTTCAGTTTTAAAGGAAGTCACCCATGGACTAATTTACCTACCCTTACTGGGGCAACATCTAAATTAGGTATAACAAGAGGGAATCAGTCATTTTCAGCTCTTACTTGTTTGCTGCGGCTTATTTGTAATATTTAACACATTGGACAGAAAACATTGGTCTTAATGTGTTTTGGTTGGTCTTCCAAATCCTGAGGTAGCAAAACTGGTACAATGAAGCCAGTTGCTTTCAACCATGTGTTAGACTATGTTTGATCCCAGTCATCATTCTGAATATGTTAAACTATATTTGTGGTTTCTGCAACAAATATGAATAGCTGTTTGACATAGAATATATACATCACATCTAAATGAAATAAGTTCGTCAAATGTTAGAACTGAGAGGAAAAGACCAACTATTTCAACCCATCTTCTTGATAAGAAAATGGAGCTTATAAAATAGAGATCAATTATCCATGACCATATAGCAAGTTGGAGAAGAACATAATTCTCTTATCTTTATTATTGTGAAACGTCTATTCTCCAACAAGTAAGATAACCCAACATGGAAAGAAGCATGTGAAACTCATTTTGAAGAGCATGTTTTAATTAAATGTGGACATGTACCACTTACTAGTTATTTACCTGCTCTATCAGCAGAAGTTTCATTCATAAACTTAATAGTATGCAGGGGAACACAATTTTGGTAGAAACATTGTATGAAAAATGACTTTTTGGCCAGGCACTGGTGGCTTGTGCCTGTCATCCCAGCTACTCATGAAACAGGACTGAGGATCATGGTTTGATATTAGCCTGGACAGGAAAGACTGTGAGACTTTTATCTCCAGTTAACCAAAGAAAACCTGAAATGGAGCCTGTGGCTCAAGTGGTAGAGCACTAGCCTCAAGCACAAAAGGCCCTGAGTTCAAGCCTTAGGACCAGTATAAACACACAAACAGAATCCCCTCGTTTTTTCCTAAGGAGTGAGGAAGAATATCATTAGAAGAATATGCCTAAGTTAGGGTTCATAGAGTAGTTGAAAGTACTTTGTTTAGAAATGGAAGGTAGAGGTTTGAGCACAAGCTGTCTGGTGCTTCTATATGAAGCTCAGTTTGACTCAAGCTGTCTGGTGCTTCTATATGAAGCCTCAGTTTTACATCTGCAAAATTGAAATTAATAATAGACTACTTGCAGATTGTTTCAAAGTTCAAATGACAAAAACGTAAGTAAAACACAATCATTATTAGCTATATTATTATACTATATATTATATGTTATATGTTATACTATATACTACATATATACTATGCTATATACTATATAGTATAGTATATTATTATACTATAAGAAAAATCTGTAGGAATACTCTGGTGTTCTGGAAGAGAATGCAGCCTGGAAATTGTCAGATGTGGCTCCTGTTTGCTTATACCTCTGATGGTTTCCAGCTTTGGCTGATGTTAATAGTCTATCATTCCCTTCCTAGACCTGAGGTTATTAAGAGCTAAATGTCTAGGACTGGTTAATTGCTCTGAGACATCTGAGGAGGACCGGAGTTTATAGAGAGATTATCTTGTATCTGTGCATTTGGATTTTGGAGATGAATAAAGAATCTTGGCACTGATTACTAGAGTAGCTCATGTTCACTATGTCAGCCTTTAGTCTCTGATATAATTATTTATTTTCCATCCAAGTAAAGATGATCTTAAGCAATTATAACTTAGCAACTGTTGACCTACAGTAATTCAAAATTTGACAACAAAACAGTCAACACTTACTCTGCTGATGTCTTTGTTCACTATTACAAATGTTCTTCACTAAGCATCCTATATGAAAGATCTTGTTTGGTAATTATCTTCTTATTTACTGATAAGTAAAAGATGCCTAGTAATTTTACTACATGAGAAAGCTTACAAATTTATTTATTTTCCTAAATAGAGCTTCAGGGTTTGTTGTTGTTGTTGTTTTGTTGGATGTCTTGGTATCAAGTAGCACCATATTGTCATTTTCCAAATAAAGGCATCTCTCTGATGGAATTTATGTAATAGAAGAAAGAGCCAGCTGTAAATATGTGTGTATGTATATACATATATATGCTGAAAAAGCATATATTAAAAAAAAAGCATAGTTAACTGTAAATTACCTGTGGTAAGAGTACTCAATGAAGATATTCTTGAGATTAAAGATGTTGATGTCTGCTGCTGCTGCTTTTGTTTATCAGTACTTTGGGCTTGAACTCTGGGTCTAGCACTGCCCCAAGCCTTTTTCTCAAGACTAGCACTCTACCACTGCTGTTGGCTTTTTGACTTTCCTGCTCAGACTGGCTTCAAACTGCACTCAGCCTCCTGAGTAGCTATGATTAAGGTCTCTTCTAATGTACCATTCTTTACACATAGAAGAGCACTGAACAGATATTTATTTATTTATTTTTGGTCAGCTATGAAACTTGAACTCTGGGCCTGGGCTCTGTCCCTGAGCTCTTTAGCTCAAGGCTAGTGCTCTACCACTTGAGCCACAGCACTACATCTGATTTTCTGGTGGTTTAGTAGAGATAAGAGTCTCACAGACTTTACTGCCTGGGCTGGCTTTGAACTGTGATCCTTAGATCTTAGCCTTCTGTGTAGCTAGGATTACAGGTGTGAGCCACCAGTGCCTGGCCAGATTGTTTATTAAGTGAATGAATGAGAGTATCATTCATTCTAGCTGGCAACTTCCTCTCCCATTTGTCTGCAGCAGTTAACACATCTACTCCATTTGAATTTAAGTTTTTTTCCCCTCTCCTTACCAAATTTTAGATGTAGAGCTAATAAACAAATATTCTGCATATTACAAAAAAAAAATATATTGAAAGGATGTGATTCTGTCATTCATTGATTATCAAGGTTGATGCCAGAAACCATGACTTGAACATTTAGTGCGATATCAAAGCTTAATTACTGAAATACTGATTTATTCTAAAGGAGTGACTCTCTTTACATTCGGTATCTCCTTGTGAACCATTCATATTCATATTACTTGGTTCATTTCAGATAAGACTTTCTGCTCTATTTTTTCCAAAATGGATTAGCAGGTAGCAATAGAATATTCTAGCCTCTTATGCTAAATGTTAGGTCAATTTTTCTTTGTTCAATAAAATGATTGTATTATATGGAATTACAAACACAATGAGAACTGCTTGCCTGTAGTTTCATATTTTTTCATTTTGCATAAACATTGTTCAGCTGCT